CCCGCCCCACCAGCTCCCTGCCCTTCCCCTCCCAGCCCACTGCCCTCCCCCTCCCGCCCCACCAGCTCCCTGCCCTTCTCCTCCCAGCTCCCTCTCCTGCCCCACCTGCCCTTCTCCTCCCAGCTCCCTGCCCTTCTCCTCCCAGCTCCCTGTCCTCCCCTCCTGCCCCGCCAGCCCTCTGCTCTTCTTCATCAGCCCTGCCTGCCCACTGCCCTCCCCCTCCTGTTCCACCAGCTCCCTGCTCTTCCCCTCCAACTCTCTGCCCTCCCTTTCATGCCCTGCTAGCACCCTGCCCTTCCCCTGGTGCCAAGCTAGTCCTCCTGCCCTTCCTCTCCTACCAAGTTAGACCCCTGCCTTCAGCCCAGCATGCTCTCCTGGCCTTCCCCCTCCAGCCCAGCTAGCTTCCTCCCCTCCATCTGAGCAATGCCTCTCCCAGCCACTCCTCTGTTTTGCCCTCTCTCCAATTCGCACCCCTCTTTTACCCCCTCCAATCCAGCTAGCCCCCACCCTTGACCGTTCCAATCCAGCTACACCCCGTTTTTCCCTTTCCAGCTAACCTAGTCCTTCTGCCCTTCCCCTTTCCAGCCATCCCCTTGGCTACCCATTATTGCTACTTCCCCTCAGCCCTAGCTTCCCCAACCACCTCGCTCCAGAAGGCTCTTATCCTTCCCATCCTCTTCCTTCAGCCATTGCTGCCTCCAGACATTTTGCCCCAGCCATTTTTTTCTCCCATCCAGATCAGCCATTCTGTGCCACAGCCACCAACCTGCTACTCTCTTCCCAATAATCCCCCCCTGCTTCCCAGCCCCTATCCCCTGCCCTTCCAAAGCCTCAGTCCCACAGCTCAGCGTTCATTTAGTCCTACATCCCTTATGTCAATGGGTTCATGAAGCAGAATGAACTCACTTCCAGGCTCCCACCCCAATATCACTAGGGTCTGTTTGACACAAGAAAGGAAGAAGGCTAGATGGAGACTGTGCTGCACTGAAAGCCATTTGCTTCCCTGTGCTTTAAACACAGACACATTTGTGAGAGTCAAATGACAACATGAACCAGTGCTCATCCTAACACACCTGTAAATGGTTCCCTTCACCCCACACTGCATTTCATCTCCCCTTCTGCTAAGTGTGTACTAGAAATCTTCTGTCTCCTCAGCAGCCACCAGTTGGATGAGACATAGAAGTCTGGATCCAGTCTTCTCAGAGAGGTGACAGTCTGCAGCCCAGCACTTTGATTGTCAAACAGTGAGCACACGAGAGATTACTCTGGTGGGTTTGGGACAGTGAGTTCCTGTCTAGACGCACATGCACACTGCACATGTCTAGATAGGCATGAGAGAAAATGACATCAGTGGTGGAAATGAGAAGCCTCCTTTGTGTTATGTAAAACTGCATTGAAAATTAGATCTTCAAAAGTTATGGGACTAGTTGTGTTACAGAAATAGAGGTAACTGAATACTTGGGGGCAAATGGTACATTTCTACAACCAGAATGGATAGTAACAGGACTAGATACCTCTTGGAGGGCATTTTAATAGTCCATATACTCCAGAGGATTATAAAACCTATGATCAATGAGCTATATTTGTTAAGCATTTTTAGTCTGGGAGGGGGCATGCTGAGATGTGATCTTAATATGAGAACAGTAGTTTTAAAATAGTTGCCCAAGTTCAAAGTGCAAAGAAAATGTCTGAAAAATTTTGTAACAGTTACAACATGCTCACCCACCAGGTTAGATTCAGATAAGTAAAAAAAGTGATTGTTCAGAAGGTTTCCATGCTGGTTCTTCTAGCCCTCCTGTGCTGAGACTGAACATCAGAAATTACAATCTCAAAAGGTAATTATTTGAGAAAAACACATTTTAGGGAAAGCAAAGGCTGTTGGGCTACAAGAATAGACCCCATCCTCCACCACAAATGATAGGCCCAACAAGTGTGTCTATAGACTACAGCTTTCCACATAGCACACCACAACTGTCTTCTTCCACTACACTTCCCAAGTGTCCAGGCAAATAATTAACTATCTATCCTGCTTGCGGAGTTCCTCTTCAAAGAACTAATCCAGTCTATTATCCTTGTTGAAATAGTTTTCCTCTTCAAAGAACTAATCCAGTCTACTATTGTTGAAATAGTTAGAAGATTTTCTGAAAAGATTCAGAAAAGAGTTACAGGAGTGATTCATTCTGGAAACATGCCAACAGTGAGAGATTTAACAACCTCAATCTACTTAGTTTATCCAAGAGAAGATTAAGAAGTAGCTTGTTCAAGATCTGTAAGTAGCTACATGATGAAGAGAGTTCTCATAGGAGATGGCTCTTTAGCAGCAGAAGGCATAAGAAGATGAAATAGTTGTCATCTAAATTTGTCTAACAATGAGGGTGATTAACCATTGGAACTACTTTCCTTGGGACATGGTGGATTTTCCATCACTTTAAATCTTTAAATCAAGAGCTGAGAGCTTTCTCAATGTTATGTTCTAATGCAATGACTAGCTCTGGAAAGTTGCCATTTGGGGCTTGAAACTGCATGACTAAAGTTAATCAGAGGGTTGCCATAAACGTAAATGACCAGTCCTTAATGCACAAGGAAGGCCAGAATCCTAAATTAGTGTTCTCTTTGTGTTTTTTCTTCTCTGTGATAGTAAGAGGACTATAGCTAATGGTTTTGTCATTGATTCACACATGGTAATGGACATTACTGGTAGTATCATATGCTAGACAAACTCTGATATGCACCCTAGTGGCTATATTGATAGTAAGAGTGACATCTTATTTCAAATTGGCTCAGCACCTCCCCACACCACCCAACGGGAGGGAGGGGGCAGCCCTGAATGTGTGAATACTCCAGGGACACAGCATTGCTCACTCAAATATGGCCCAGCATCATGATGGAGGGGCAGCAGGACCAAAGTCAGTGGAGCTAAGACTCTGTGTGCTGCTCACAATGCCTGGTATAGGGCACTGAGCCCAAGGAGTCCCATGGACTAGAGCAGCAGGATTAGTGCAGGGTGGACTCTTCACAACTCCCCCCATGACCACTCAGCCCCCTGGGGGCAGAGCATGTCACAACCTTCACCTCACCTAGTCTCCTCGCAGATCTCCCATGTAATTCTTACCCATTCTGGCAACCCCACTCTGGACTGAGAAGCCCTGAGCTATAGCATCTGCCTCTCCCCAATGGCCTTGAATTGCACACAATCAGCATTTATGATCAATTACTTTCAGTGAGTACAACATCATTCACATTTGTACCTTCCTGCTTCATGCTTTTAAACAGCCAGACAAACAGAAAAACCTGTCGGCCACTTAGCTGTGTCCAGTACTTTTCAGAACCAAGGTTGCCAGCCTTCAGTAAGTTCATGGACAGTCCATAAACAATTGAACCTGTCTGTAAAGTCATTTACATGTCAGTAAAAAAAACTCACCAAGTTTCAGTGGAGCTGAGGACTCCCTCCCACTTGGCCCTGGAGTGAGATCCGCACTGTGGGGAAGCTGCAGGGAGTCTACAGTTCCCAGGGCAGAGGCTGGCAAGGGCTGCTCTTCTCTGCCTATAGTATGAACTCTACTTTAGTGTCATTTGCGTCAGCACAACAGCAACTTTTGGTGGGCATGTGTGCAACATCCCCCCTCAATGGGCTCCCTGGGGCTGGGGAGGGGCAAACAGGGTACAGCATTCAGGACCTAGCAACCTCCCACAGGCTCCCCAATGATAAGTCACAGCAGGGCAATTACTTACATATAAGAAATAAATTGTCCGTTCTTGTGCTGGAAGGATTATTGACTGTCAAAAGTGGACTTGCAAAATTACTAAAGCAACGGTTGACAGTATGGCTGCTACAGTGGATAATCACAAACTGGAGAACTTGGAGGATGGTGATGTGACTAGTAAGTAGGTTAAAGTAGCGTAATAACACTGTGTTGTGTTGTTTGAATAAAAATACTGGATGTTGTTCATTTTTGTCCTTTTGAGCCATCTTTATATTATGTAAGAATGTCGCTAAACAAAAGTTTGGTTGTCTGTAATATTATTCTGTACTGTCCATAAAAATCATGTTCAGCAGTTGGCAACCCTCTTCAGAACATAAGAACAGCCACACTGGGTCAGACCATTTCTCCGTCTAGCTCGGATGCTGTTTTTCAACAGTGCACTGTGCCAGGTGTTTCAAAGGGAGGGACCTGAACAGGGCAATTACTGAGTGATCCATTTCCCATCATGCACTCCCACCTTTTGGCAGTTAGTGGCTTAAGGAAACCCAGAACATGATGGTACAACCCTGACAATCTTGGCTAATAGCTTTTAGAATCATAGAAATATAGGTCTGGAAGGGACCTCAATAGATCATCCAGTCCA